GACCTGGCTGTTCCGGCAGGCCTGGGGCTGTTGGTCTCATTGTTGAGGTCCAGCCCCGACTGAAATGAATGTATCTGTGTTGTTTTTAACTTTTCTTATTTTATTTTTATTTCCTTTTATTTTCTTTCTTTCCCCTTCTGTAAGCTGCCCGGAGTCCTTCAGGATTGGGCGGCCTATAAATAAAATCAAACTTCAAACTTTTACGATGCCGTTATGACACAACCACCCCTATCACCAAGCCATGCAGCCCTGACTTACGGCAGTTGTCTTCGTCTGAGCCATTTTCACAATCCACTTCTGAGTCACACCGCCAGGATACATCAATGCAACGGTTGATGCGGCCGCCACAGCTGAACTGGGTTGAACTGCAAGTCACAGATTCTGAAAAGATACATACGACCCTGATTGTATTACACTGTGTCCCATATAGCCTTAGCAAAGAGGTCCCTTAGTCTTAAGGTCGTTGTTCCCTGGCCAAAGAGCCTGGTGGAGGAGATAGCACAAGTTCTGGCGTCAGGAGAAAAAATATGGAAGTCACTCAGATGAGCAATGGGTCCCTGCACATGCTCTCAGTTAGCAAGCGAAGCCCTATAGGAAGTATTGCCAGTAAGGAAGATGACCTTGATGCCATTCTGCCAATATGCAGGAGCACCTGGGCAAAAGAGGTTGAAGCATTTTTTTAGCCACAAAACAATGGGATAACATTTGGAAGTGGCTCAGACACTTGCCCAATTCATTGAACTATGAGAAGGTGGAGGTGTACTGCAGAGTCAATCTCAATAAAAGTAGCTTCACCCTTACTGTGAAGTTGATTTCCTGGTCTGGTAGGCAGAGAAACTCACCTCTCCTGACATGGAACAGGGTGGCTGATCCTAAGAGGCAATAATCCTCCTTTCAATACCACTGCCATCAGGCCTCACTCCAATTTTTCCCTTCAAGGACTTTAAAGCATATTACAAGGTTCCAGGTCCTTCCATGCTATCTTCTGAGAAGTGCGCTCTTACACTCGGGAGAAGATGCCACTGTGCCACTCTTTTATGCTTTGCGCAAAGATATTCTCTACTAAGACTTAATCCCCTTGATTCCCTCACCTCTAAATCTTAGAAGGCATCTATTCAATCAGGTGGCTAAGAAGCTGCAGCTGAAAACTCTTGGCTGCAGGCTTGGGGGACAATAAAATCTGAAATGTGTAGAATGAATACATTTTTGATGTACCTGGATGTTTCAATCAAATTATGAATACAATAAAGGACTTGGAACTTTTTTTTAGAATAGAATAGACTTGTAACTTTATTTGTTTCACTACAAAGGTCAGGATTAACGATGCAGGGAAATTTAGTCTAATACGTTGCCTACATTCAAGATCAGCTACAAATTTCAAGATGGCTCAATTTCAAATACTCTAAAGAGCAGCAGTGTTGAAGGAAGGCTAATCGCTTTAAACATTGCAATCTTTTCTTTCTTTTCTTTCGGGAAGATTGGAAGAGGAAACTTTGCTCAAGATTAGCGTTAGCCGACTTACTGCAAGCATCCAAGGATTCATCAGAACCATCCCTGCATTCAGGGCTGTCATCGCAGATCCATTTGTAAGGGATGCAATCTCCGTTTCTGCACTGAAATTCATTTCTTCCGCACTTACCCCGCTCTGCAAGAGAGTTTCATTAACCATTAGAAAGAGAAACCGCCACATTCTGACTTCACTCCTCACCTGTCTACGGAGAACATCTTAACTGTAAATTAAACTTATTCACAGGCTATTTATCAGTACCTTCACCGGAAGATATGAATCCAAGTTTTATTTCATATATATATAACTATACATACCACAACTTTTAAAATTAATTCTAAACGCACATGTATCCGTTTCAAAAGAGGCATGCAGACAAGAGACTTGACAAGATCTTACCAGAGATTTGCCTAGATATTTCTGATTGTACCCACAAGCAAACCGATAGAGAGAGCAAAGTGAGTTGAACAATAACAGTGGGGAGATCTATCTGGAGGAAATTGCACTCCACTGGTACTCACTCTTTACCTATGTCAGTGGTTCCCAAACTTGGCAACTTTAAGACTTGTGGACTTCAACTCCCAGAATTCTCCAGCCAGCA